AATGGGCACCACCATAAACCAAACTTGCTATTGATTCAATGTTATCTCACTCCCTCATATCATTATCCCATTTCTCTTCTTCCTCTTTTTTTTCCTTTTTTTTTCTTTTTTCTTAATGATTCCATACATCACGTGTTCTCTTTTTTCTTCTTCCCCCGAGTACATCGTACAAACTCTTAAGTGTATCATGTATTGCCAACAAAACCTACGTGTATGTATTTCCTTTACGTCAACAGATAATCAAATTGAATCCTTTCCACAAATGCTCAGCGGCAGCCTGAGCCTAATATCATGTCGTCAACAAGAGTCACTGAGACTGCGCGAGGTTCGACGGCAGACAGTGCAGAACGCTACCTTCTTCCGCCCAATACAACGTACGGTGATTATAGCTGTATCTGGGCTATCTTTCAGTCTAAATACAGCTATAACGACCGTACTACGTTGTTTTCGAGGGAAGAAGGTAGAACGGTTCGGAGAAGCAGACGATAACTTTTCTTCACCCGGCGAATAGCTTGCACGGTAATTAATCGCAGTAACTTTTTTTTTTTTTTTTTTCGGAAAATCGCCGTAACTTTTTTTTTTTTTTTTCCGGGAAATCGCAGTAACTTTTAAGTTTTTTTTTCGGGAAATCGCAGTAGTTTTTTTTTATTATTTTTTTTCGGGAAATCGCAGCAACTAAACTAAACTGAAAGTTACCCCGTATGCAGGTCACGTCAATGGCCCGTGTGTTTTAATCGGGGGAACGGCAGAACATAACAGGTATCCCCGTGCAGCGGCGTCCACCACTTGACATAAGACGGAACTCCAAATCACCATGCGTTCTATTCAGGCAAAGGGCAAAGACGAACAGAAGGGATGGCACCAGCTACGGCACCAGCTATGGCACCAGCTATGGCACCAGCTATGGCACCAGCTCTATAATTGACCGTGCGTTCACAGAGCAGGGAAGGAGAGTAACTGCTCGCTACACGGTACACTGTCCAAGTCTTCAACAGCCGTGCCGGGGTAACATTCACAAAAACTCGTATGAAGGTGGACACATTCAGCAAGCCTGAGCAAGGCATCCATTTGCAATCAAATCACCACATCTGCCCTTCACCACGGAGTTAATCAAAGACAAACGAAAAAAAGAAATTCCGAGTTCGTGTACTTCGTAAGAACCGATCATTGCGAAAAGCAGAGCGCGAATCTGACAATTTGGCCCTGAGACAAGTGAGGGCAAAAGATACACTAAGTTCACTAACCACGACTTCAAACCCGGCAAGGCACACCCTTCTCTCGTGTGTGTGTGTGTGTGTGTGTGTGTGTGTGTGTGTGTTATGTGTGAGGTGTGTGTGTGTGTGTGTGTGTGTGTGTGTGTGTGTGTGTGTGTGTGTGTGTGTGTGTGAGAGAGAGAGAGAGAGAGAGAGAGAGAGAG